TTTACTTAACAAGTCCGCGCAATAAACGTATTGAGAAAGGGCTCTTACGCCTTACCCAGGAGCAACAGAGAGATTTTTAGGTTAACAGGTTGCAATTCTATATCATGAGTGACATTTTTTATTTGAGTCCGGTTGGACTAAATGGTATGAATCTGTTCTATTTATTTCATCGTAAAATTGTAAAATACTGGATGGCTTGCGGCTAGCAGCCCACATGATCCCGGGTATCTCCTTTACGGATTCTCATCACCCTTATCAACATCATTACTTTGGTACTGATGAGCTAATTCGGATGGACAATAGTGAAGTGTGTATGTACGCCATGACAAGGTACAACCATCGTCACATCCTGCCATTTACCATGCTCACTTTTTCAGGTCAAACTGTTGCGCAAAAGTGAACGCTCATCGAGTACCCACACTTGCTTACAATGCCTAAACCTGCAAGCATCGTTCACATTGAGAATGCGCTCACTAGCATTCTACCATGGCTCACGGGCCCCTAAGAAGTGGCGTTTGACGCGCTATAAGCCTTTTTTGTGAGGAAGTCGGTGTTTACCGATGAAAAAGTTACAGCAATCCAGCGAGCTCCGACCCAGCACTTTCCCCCTCACCAAAAATGTACTGCGAAGCCAACAATTGTGGAAGCGCTCCGTCTGTTCTCGATACAATCGCGCGATTGGTATGGTGAAAGTGTTGAGACGTAATGTTTAGCTCATAAATCAGAAGGATTCACCTATTTGAAAGCGCAGGAGTTGCAACGACTTTGACAGACTCTATCACACTGTCTTTTTGACCTTAATTCATATGAAGTTGCCCGTGCACGCCGATGCATGCGAGCTTTTCCTAAGTTGATACCAAAGCAAACGCAAAAATCGCTGCGCGAGCGCTTTTTGACCACTCGAGTCGCCACAACTCAGAAGTACCGCCTGCGCCTAAGGCAGCGACAGTCGCTTAAGTCTGAAAATTTAACAAGGACTGTGCTTTGGGTACTATATGCTGACGGGAATGAAGAGTATCTTAATCAATCCGTGCAATGGGCGGATTAGACACATCACACAGTCATCTAACAGCTTGACAACAAAGCAGGTGCTCGACTAGAGCATCGTTTAACACCCGACTTTTCAAAGAACAGAGCTCGGAGGAGCGTCATCAAGTTCGTCCTGCTGACGGCCCTGCTATCTTCAAAAGACAACCGTTGCAGCTACATACCAAGTTTTGACTTTGAAGAAGGTCGAGCTTCATTTGCCTTTGGAAAGCGCGCAGCGCCAGGCGGCCCTGCCTCTCCCTTTAATAAAAACCGACAGATCACAAGTCATAAGCGGCCACGACGCCACGTCAATCTTGCCGAAGCGGGGGCTCGATTTCTTAGGACTATTCGATGTAAGGATATTCATAAACCGGGAATAGCTCTATTCAGTTGGTCGACCCAAATTTTTTTCGCCTGAGATTTACCACCATTTGCTCATCGCGCAGCACCGGCTCACGACGGCCCTCCGCAGCTTTCTCTCGTAAACTCTCTCGATAATGTTTTCAGAAGAAAGAGTCTCGATGTAGGGCCAAAATCGACACGAACCTATTTTTGGATACTCTCTATAAGCTGCAATGATTCAAGGAGTACCTCCGCGCGGTTCAGAGCCGCATTGAGTTGACGGCTCACAAGAACCTCAATGTCATTATTACTGAGCGCATATTAAGTTCGGAAAGGCTACTCATTCTGCAACTCTTCGAAAATTGGGATGCTGACTTCGCTGCGCAATCACGCGTGATTTGTATAAATCACAGAACTTTTGAAGCCAAACAGATGCACTTTCAACTTGACAAGAAAATACTCCATTTTAGGTACCTTACGGGTAGTTGTTTTTGTCGCTTCAGGCCGCGAGATCAGGCACGATTTAGCGTTCATGTCCATCAGTATCTGCTTAGGTAAAGCACATCTAATGCAAAGGCTGATGCGTCACAGACGAGATTAAATGGACGATCCGGATTCGGAAGAACCAAAAACAGGACACTGATGCGTTTCTCTTTCACAGCCTCGAAGGCCGCCTCTTCTGTCGCACCCCAGGACCATCTGACATTCATTCTTAGGGTATTAGTGAGGTGTCGTGCCATGTCAGCATAATTTGCACTTAAACGGTGCAAGCAGTCGGCCTGACCTAGCCACTACTTTATACTCCTTTGGGCTTTGGGCACTGGCCAATCTACGATGGCCTTAATTTTCGCGGAATCTGCCCGCAAACCGCTTTATCCAAAAGTAACCATCCAACAGAAGTAGGTTTTTTTCGGACAGTCTGTTTAAGTGCATGCACTTGAGCATTGTTCGCAAGTATTTGGTGTGGTTCTTCACATCTAATTCCACGTGTTATGCACGAATAGGGACAAATTAATTTGTGCATTGGCACGGTGCGGCCTAAAACTGTCTTTCCAGACATTTGAACGTCGCTTGCGCGCTATAATCCCCTGGGGCGTCATCAGCCACTCTCAGTATCATCCTCGATGCATCACGACAGCGAATTTAGTATCAATATTTCTCATGATTAGTAGTAAAGCCATCAAAGTGATCGGAAGTAGTATACAAAGTACAACCAGCTATGTGGCTCTGCAGCACACCTCTTTTTTTAGAACTGGCGCTCATGCCGGAAGAGTTGGAATTGATTTGTTATAAATATGTATCATCCGACATTTGTTGTTGGCCTTTCCGGCGCATGAAGTCGGCGCTGAACGAAAAGATTTACTTCCTCTCGTCAACCCTGCTCCGTGTGTTTCACATCAATAAAGGGTCGATGTAGTCACACACTCCCTTGGGAGGGGTCAATGATGTGCGATGCGGTCATAATGGTGGAAATATCAAGGCAGGGACAATACACGTGGTGTCTCCGGTCACCTAGTCGTGATATTCCTACAACAAAGGAAATGGAGATCCATAGAATCCTCAAGTATAGCTTTGTCTGTTCTATCTTACAGTGGATGCATATATTCTTTTGACGGCTTGGTCGTCGGATAGATAGGATGTGCTACCAAGTTGCCGTGCACATTGCAGCTTGACTTGAGGAGCACGCGTTATTACAAGTACAAAGAATGCTTCGTACGCTTCACCCAGTAAATAACTGCCACGTTGTTTCCTTTATCTCAAAACTGGCATACACCTAGAAATGATTTTATCCAAGCTGACACTAACTGTATATCCCAAACAATTATCAATGGAAGAACTATCTTTGTATGCTTGACCGCGAGACTGACTGCCAACATGTACAATGAACACTTTCTTAACGATACCCATCGACTTCTAAACACTTTTGTGTTATGTCGATTCCATAGAATTGTACAATATTATATCTTCACAATTGCATAGAATTGTATAGTGTACGTATACAATAATACAGAAAACACTCTTTTAAAGAGGTTCAATCCCATAATTGATTACTCGCTGCGCTGTTTGAGCGCGAAAGCTTCAGTAACGTGGGCGGACCGCTTCCGACGGGCTCAATTTGTGCTAAGAAAAATAGGAATCACGCATTGCGCAGCTCACCCTCCTACGTGAGTGGGTCGGCAACTTTGTAGTGAAGTGAACCGCTTTCTATATGAGGCAAAGGAGATTCGAGAGCACATTCTTTCTGTTCTCAAACATGAGACCGAAGCCAGCTGCAAATCTTGCGAACAACAGACTTAACGTAATCGAGATGCGATAACACAGGCCCAGCACATAAAATCGCCCAGGTCAAAATAAAAATATGCTGTATTCATGCGGATTCAGTACTAATAGGCTTTAGAGCCTTGCCGATGAGCAAGATGAGCTAGGCGGGAACACCAAATTTCCGTCATATTTTATCGGCATGCTAATGGTTTTGAGCTGCCAATGGCGACTGGTCTATGCGTGGGCCGGCTGTCTGAATTGGCAGTCAGGAGAGATGTCTGGTGTTTTAATCAGACGAGACACGAAGACCATGAAGCTTAAGGTGTAGGGCCTGCTGGTCAAGCATTGGGTCTATGACCCCCTATACTGGAGCTCCAATCCACTTTTATCCCGCATTTGCAACGTATATGTGACCGCGGAAATCGAATAAGCTTCGACTCACGGTACGGTAGGCAGGCTCATTTATCGGCAAAAATGGTGCAACGTCTACCCCGAGATCAATTGGGTGGTATGCTGGAGAGCATCAATTGATCTATCATGGAGGGCCTGATATCTGCTCTGTCAGAAAACTACATCGTCTAATAGAAGCTAGGGTACCTGTAAGGGTTAGCCCGCTTGCCACAACCAATCTCGAAAATGATCTTGAGAAGATGAAATTTTCCTAAGGTAGACAAATTTCAACCGGTATGTCTCAGTAGTAGCTCTATGATACGATATGCGTTGGTATTGGCACAGACGCTTGCAGGCCAACCACCATTTCTCCTGGATTATAACGCACTACCCTTTAGCGTGTGATCAGGAAAAAAAGTTTATAAATGCCGTATAAACCGTTTTAGGTGGATTATCCAGCGGTTATTGCGCATTGCGACCTGGGCAAAAGCCCAAAAACTGTAGAACGGCCATGCCATATGTACGGGGAATTAATAAGGTTATACTAAACCCATGTTCGTTGTAACGGTTAAAGTAGACTTTCTGTGGACTCTAGAGATCTAATCGGAAAGTTTGTAAGGTTGTCAAACTTCCATGCTTGACGGGTTTTTGATCAAGCGTTGCCACTTCCTGGAGATGGCACGAGAAACGATGCTCTTAAGATGTATTCACTTGGCCTGAGCCCTGGACATGACGTTTCGAAGCATCTTCCAAATGTATCTCTGTCTCCTGATCTCCTACAAAAAGTGAGAGCTCTCTGGGTTGAAATATGTACAACGAAAGCAACACGCACCAAGCAGCTCATAAACAAAATTTCTTTCTTTAAAGAGGTGATGTTTGTAAGCGGCACCGATTGGGAAGTAGCTTGAAGTGTGCGACTTAGGTCTAGCCTTAAATCTCTTCAAGAAATGCGCGCGGATCAGATCCCGTACCTATCATCGAGAAGAGATGAGGGGATGGGCAAAAACTTGAGCATAGCTCCTTCTCCGAGATCAGAGACAGTCTCTTTGGTCAGCAAGAGGATGCTCATGCTGCCCTTTCATCGACAGCTCTGCCTGAATTTACCTTGTACTCATAGGTACTGGTAGCAGCAGCACCACACTCGGAATCTTCTAGTCCAAAGCTATAACCGGCCTATTTAGGGCATGATGCTCATATCAGTTTTGAGCAGTTTCATATTTTAGTGGGGCCTAACCAGCTCGTGGCGTTTATTCACCGACAGTGTTATATCTGTCGGCGCAGTGGGGACTTGGATTTAAAAATGATACGAACCCTTCAAGGGAGTTGTGAACTTCTAAATATCCACAGCTGTGTGCTACAACAAGCACCACATGAAGACGAGCTTGCACATCTTGGCCTTGGCCTTACACTTAATTTTGGTATTGGCATGGTAACTGGGTCCATCTAGACCTAAGACTTGTGAGAGCATGTATTACAAGAGCCACACCAGGCTGATGTGGATTAACCCAACCACACCAACTGAAAGGATTGGTAACGCGATGCACATGCTTCTGGATAAATGAACACAGACGAAAGGGAAGACACTTTGTCCGTTATTTGCCGCGCACTTCCCGCAGAGTTTTAAGGAACGCTTAAAAAGCTCAACGAGGTTGGGTTCAAGCGACTAGCGGAAAAACTGAGAGTGTTTCAGATATTTAGCTCAGTTTGTATGCTCTCCTTTTCGAAGTACGTTTACTAATATAGTTCTCTGTTTGAGCTTATACTACCTCTACCTGGTACACCACCTCTCATAGTAAAACTGAATTTCTTTTGAAACGTGCGCCTGGCAGCACACGCGCCCGTCAGACCGCGCCTTTTCAAATTTTCGTGACCTTTATAAATTCTGATTTGGGGAAACACTTGTGAGTATACATGATGATATCAAGTGTAATGTGAGGTTTTCTGCACACTCTGCTCAATGAGCCCTGTGTCTATGACACGAAAGACATCCAGCCTCGCTGGTTCTCAGAGCGCCCCCGGCCAGAGCCTTTCTCCATCTCCTGCACGCGGTGTGACTCCGGACAGTACGTCTGCGGCTTCACGGGAAGCACATTCCAAGTCCTCGGCGACCGAGCGACGCACGGGCGACGGATTACTACATCGAGAATTTGGAGGGAGTCGACTACGAGTCGGATATTCCTTTCCCAGGATGGTAAGAAGAGGAGGGTGAGGTGCGCCAACGGCGCGACGTGAGCCCTGCTCGAACCTTGTGGTCATCGTATCCGTTTACCGACCTCTCGGCTTCCGGGGGAAGTGGCATTATCACCAATCGTCTCGACGAGGTACGGGAGCAGCAGCTGGAGGCTGCCCGCAGGGGGGATATGCGGTCGCATCCACGGTCGGTCCTAGACCCTCGTGTGGATACGACTTCCGCTCGACATGTCCCGCTACAGAAGCGAACACTCGATCGCTGGTCGTCTACGTAGATGGGCCGTCGTTCGCTACACAAGCTGAACTTGACCAACGAAAAGCTCTCCGAGCTCGCTTCTTACTACTTAAAGAAATCTCAATGGATAGATACCGCACTCGACTTTGCGTTTAAAGCGGAGGCACTCCTGTACCCGCAGTGCGGGCGATTCCTGTGGTGCTCACCCCTTGCAAATACGCTTCAGATGATGAAGAGCTCATTGAACGATGGGCGCAGCAGCACCGAAAACATTCCGAGCTGTCTAACTTACAGAGGAGCCACAAGAAAGTGGACGTGCGCGTACAATTCATCTTTGGTTGAGTTTGCCAGACTCAAGGCGCAACACCGACTTCCTATGTATTGTCACCCTGCGATGTATGGATTATTCCATCACGCTCCCGCGAGCTTTGTGGTTTCTTACACGAGTGAGACCACCATCACAGCAGTTCAGAGTCATAGCTTGCGCTCAGCTCATGGCCTTTCGGCTTCCCGGCTGCTGCCGAAAAGCACAGGGTGCACGACGATGTTAAGCGCCATAACCCCTCTGATCATTAGCGTGCGCGACGTTTGGGCAGTCTTGCCGAAGAGGCACTTCAAAATCCCACAAGTTCTCTAAGTCTGGGTATCCCCGCAACCTCACAAGGTACTGGGGAAGACCTTGTCGACGACGTAAACCCGCAAGGACGCCACCGTTCTCGTCGAGCAAGTTCGGCGGCGGACAATGATGACTTGGTCGATCACCCGTCGGTGACTCGCGATGCTCTTCGAGCTCTTGGGGACAAGGTCTGTAGATATCGGGGCTTCGCTGAGCATCATCCTGAGGTCGCATACCGCTGTGCGAAAGACCTTCAGAGCTTGGAGCACTGTGTCACCGACTGCCTCACGTTCAGGACTATCGCGCTTTGTTGGAGCGGTTTCTAGCCGCCGAGCAGACGAATGTATCACTTTGTGCGACGGTGGAGCGCCTGGCACCGTCGGAAATCGTTGCACTCCGTGCTCAAAACCGGTTGCTGGTTCAGCTTCTGCGTGGTCGATCGCCTGCGAGTGACGCTCTGGTGCCAATGCTTCCGCGTTCACTTGCGCCGGATCTCGGAATGGCTTGGAAGCCCACATAAAACGCCGGGTGGGTGCGCATCCTTCTCGGAAGGTTCAGCGCATATGCAAGGCACCGCTTGGCCACGACCTTGTAAGGTCCGATAAACCGTGGGCGGAGCTTTGTCTTAAAGACAGCAGGATCTGCATGAATAGGAAGGTTTTTAGCGTTTGATAAAACCAGGTCTCCGACCTCATAGTTATAAACATTTCTCCAGCTTCTTCCGTCTGCATGTCTTAGCTTTCTGCCATCGTATCGCGCATGTGTCGTAAGGCAGGAAGTCATCAAGTTCCTTGCGCACAGTGAAAAAGCTGACATCGACAAGCCACTTGGCTAATCCTCCCTCACCAAACCACGAGCCATGGGATGGCAGCGTCAGCGGGACGCGAGGATGAACGAGCCCGTTCGCGCAGAACTAAGTGTAGCCTGTAGACGCATGCACTGTTCAGAGCAATCTGCACAAGCGGCAGCATGGCGCTTCAGTGCCTTGGCATATCAGCGCAGACACTGCGGAGAACGTCTTCAACAACGCGATTCGCGCGCTCAATCTCACCATCAGTCTGCAGATGGACTGCTGTTGACATTGTCAATTTGGTGCCAGCACCTTGATATTGTCGGCCACTTCCAAGTGAAGCGTGGGTCGCTGTCAAAGATAATTGACTCCGGGAGTCCATGTTGTCAACAGACACGATCCACAAACAGCGTCGCTGTATCGACACCGTCGATGGTGTCCGGTACTGCCGCAAGATGTGCCGTTTTGCCTAAACGATCCACAAAGACCACCACACCCGTGTTGCCCGCCGAGTCCCTCGGCAGGCCTAAAACAAAGACCATACTCATGGACTGCCAACATCCGGAGAGTACCGGTAAACTGGTCAGCGGCACCGCCGCATTCGAAGAGGTTCACTCTGTGACACGTCTCACACGTGCGCACATATGTGCTCGTCTATTGTACAACTTGAGCCACCAGTAATGGCAACTCACAGAGCTATACGTCTTCTCACGACCGAGATGACCACTGAGTGGGGTGACTTGGGCCTCATAGAAAATACGGTACTTCAAATTCTCATCATGAGGCATCAATATTTGTGGCGTATCCGTCTAGTCGGTGCTACAATATTACAACACGTTAATCAACAAATTTCGGTGCAACCGTGCATACAGTCGCGTCGACAAATTCTTGTACGAGTATCCAATCTCCTTGCTCCCGAGAGCTCGCAGCAGCGCTACGCACATAGCATCACCTGCGTATGCGGCGCGCATCAAATCCGTTACTGACGACGTCACCGTCGTGACATGAGCAAGTTCTTCGTGACAACGAAACAGCCAAAACATGCTGTTTTACTTCACCTCGAAGATATTTTCGGCAAAGATGGAGAGCCACTTAGCCATTCTCTGCAAGAGGTGAGGCGACTGAGTCGCAATGCGAGTGACGCATGATATGTGTAGCTTTGAGCCAGCAGGTGCACCCTGAATTTGACAAGTGCATACTTCATCGCAAGTAATTCCTTGTCATGAACTGGGTAGCTCTTCTCCGCAGCCTTAAGCTGGCGAGATTCGAACGCGACCACCCGATCTCGCCCTCGGTGTCTGCTTGCAGCAGTGCATAGCCGATGTCAAACTCCGAAGCGTCACAGACGACACTAAAAAGGACAATCGAGGTCTAGTAACGCCAGTATTGGCGCATGAAGAAGACTGTATCTGAAGCTTCTCGATGCTCGGTGTTACAACACCATTCTGCATCCTTTTTAGAAGATCCGACAATGGCGGTGCCATTTCCGCATATTTTGCGCTATACTTGTGTTACTAGTTGGCGAGGCCAAGCCACTCGCGCAAGTTCGTTTTACTCTTTGGAATCGGCCAGTCCACAATAGCCTTGAACTCAGCGGGATTCGCTCGAAGGCCACGCTTCCGAATAAAACACTTTGAAAAGGGAATTTTTTCATTGACGAAAATGCACTTATTTGCATTAGCATACAGCTTAATCGTCCGCATGCACTCGAGCCCCGCTTTCAAATGAACGATGTGGTTTTCCTCGTCTGTCCTCCCGTGCCCCACACGACTGTGGACAACGATGTCGCCGAAATATGTCTGTGCATGCGCCCGGTGGGGCCTGAACAACTGCATCACAAGACGACTAGATGTTGTTGGTGCATTTGACAGCCCTTAGGCATCACCAGCCACTCCCAGAGCATGCCAATCGGAGTTCTCAGCGCTGTCAGTGGAATATCACTCGCTCTTATGAGCAATTGTTAATACACATCGACCAGGTCGAGTGCATCGTACTTTGTACAGTCAACAATATTGTTCTGGAGTTATTTTTCCAGGAATTAGCGTCTGTGCCGTAATATTGGTAGCGATCAGCAGGAGAACTATTTGCCGCTTGCTGGTCGGCTTCCTGACACAAAACGTGGGTGTCGAATGGGAAGACTTGCTCTCACGCACCATTCCTGCGTCGTGCTTCGCACGAATGAAGGCGTCAATGACGTCACACTGCTCCTTGGGCAGGGGTCATTGGCATGTTACGCAG